AATTTTTTCATCAATCTGGTTTACAAACTTCAGAAACTCTTCCAGTTTTTCTCTTCCATGTGACCAAAGTTCGAAGTAATCATCCATATACCGCATGAGCACTGTCGGTTGTAGCCGTGCCATCTTGAATATCTCTTCTATTTTGTTCACGTTTACGTTTGCCAAAAATGGTGAGGCGGCGATCCCTTGGGAAATCCAAATATTTGTTCATTGATGTTCCCGTTTAATATAAAATAGGCTGTCCTTATTGTCAAGTTGATTAGTCTTGTTAACGAATTCCTACCGATCCGTTGTGATTCCAGGATATCCTCCTCTCGGTCCAGCATTTCCAGCAGGGCCGTTAGTGCATTTTATCCAGAGATATTTGCATACATCGATTCCACATCAAAAGGGCACACATTTTGACGAGTGGAATGTAAATAAGTCAGAAGTTGTGATAGGGCGGCAATGGGATAAGAGGGTAGAGAGTAGATAGATAGGCCTGGACAGAAAGAGTAGTGATAGTGTAACCGTTTTAGGCAGAACGATTGTCAAGGAATTGACTTCACTTGTCTTTTTAGCGAGTTCGTAGCTTGGTGCGAAGAATGGCAAAACTCACTGATGATGCCGACTACGATGCCGGCGAAACGTTTAATAATGTACCAAGTCCACTGTCTGATGCTGGGAATCATGACAGTGCAGACGACTTCGGACTAGGTGCGTTCTACATAGTCGCCCTGGCAACAAGACCAAGTTGCGACAACGAGGACGACTTCGGACTAGGTGCGTTCTACTAAGTCGCCCTGACAACAAGACCAAGTTGCGACAACGAGATCAACCCACTTCTTTAAGTAACATAGTTCATCCTAATGACAAATACAAATTTCCTTTATTGATAATCCAAGCCTGGTTGGAAATACTTTCGGGCAGTATAGCTAAATGAAATTAATATCGGAGTAATATTAATTTGGTTTCAAGAGTCAATTTGAAGGGATTCGTAAGTTGTTCTCACCGGAAATGACCCAGATGAATCCTTGCTGATCTTCCCTCCGTCATGTGAAAGACATCGTCAGAACGGGACACCCTGCTTTACGAAACTTCACCAAAAACACGAAAACAAGATGGGTGGCCGACCTCAAAACTACCTACTTCTTATAGTCCAATTTAGTCAACTTAAGCACCTCATAGTAGTTTGACCTTGTTTTTGCAACTTGTTTTTGCGAAGAAAAGTTAGGTTTCGAGGAATCTCTTGTTTCACAAAATTCAAGCTAACGACTCGTTTTGTTGTGATGATGATGTTTATCATATGACATACAAAAGCTTACTACCTTTTGACCGGAATCGAAGGAGAT